TCTATTCCTCCTCGTCTCCCTACTTCTTTCCAAATCTCCCTCTACACCAGGGAGTCGTATACATAATACGACGAATACTGTGGCCAGCTGTTTGTACGGGACGGTACGGGACAGATACCGGAGCCAGCAAATATTGTGGCCAGCTGTTATGTACAATCCTGTAGAGCCTTTTTAGTCACAAATAGGGGACAGATACGGGATAGCTCCAGGAGTGACACAAACAAACACCAAACGAGAGAGCTTGGAAGCTCAGCGCCCTACGCTATGCTTTTTTGCCTTGATGACTTAGAGATACTAATTCTTCCAAGTTGCTTCACGTTATGATCTTGTATTTGAAAGCCCGATTTGAATATGCATTGTGGCCAGCCGTCTTTGATTGTACGGTATGGTACGGGACAGTTACGGGACAGGTACGCGACAGGTACGGTAGAGGGTAGTACGACACCATCTACCGCCTTGATGACGGCAAAAAAAGAATAGGGATGTTATAAATTTTTCAATTCTCCTATTTTTTCAGGCATTACCTGGGATTCGAACCCGCACTATCGCCCTACATGCATTCCCCAATACACTTCGCATTCATACTCATTCTTCCAAGTTGCTTCACGTTATGATCTTGCGTCTGAAAGCCCTATTTGAATAGTGCGGCCAGCTGTATGTGGCCAGCTGTGTTTGATGGTACGGTACGGGACAGATACGGGAAAGCGCCAGGCGTGACACAAACACATAAACACACAAAAACCAAACGAGAGAGCTTGGAAGCTCAGGGCCCTACGCTATGCTTTTTTGCCTTGATGAGGCCTCGGTCACACTACGGCAAGTTTGAAGATGGACGCAGCGTCAAGTCGCAGCACTTGACGCAGACGCGGGGTCACACAGTGTTTTGTTTTTCTTGCAGCTCATGACTGCCGCGGCCTGGCGCATTTGTCTACGTCACAAAATCACCAGGGAAACTCAATGACGACACGGATTCCCACGGAAACCGGCCTTTTGCTTGGTTTTTTTTTTTGGTATGGTATGGTATTGATTTATTTGAATTCGGTATCTCAACAGTACATTGTACAACTTGCTTATTATACAAAAAAATTGTCGGAGAAAGTTTTCAAATTTTTTATTGATTTTTGATCACAAGAAGACGGAAGGTCCACGCGTGCACGATCGTTGTTGTTTCTTTCCGAATTTGAAGCCATTTTCAGTTGTAGTGTCATGGATCAGGCAAGAAAAGTCCGCATCACAGCTGTGTTTCTCCTGACTTCGTCACACTGGTGGTCCTTTTTGGGGCTCTTGACGACAACACAACGCTCACAAGTCAACAGGCTCCAGTTGGCCGATGACCCACTCAAACAACTGGTCCTTTCTCGACATTATTTTCTTCTCAGAAAACGCCTCGCTCTTCCGCCAGGTTCGGAGCAGAGCAGCCTCGGCCTCGTAGGTCCACGGACTCATCTCGAAAAAAAAGAGGAAACAAAACAAGCCTTGAAGAGACGAATGTCGAATGACTGCTCAACTCGAGCCTTGAAACTAATTTTACTTGAAAGATACCGGTACTGTTTTTCCGCCAAGCGTCACTCCCATCAGCGGCAACGCAGCCGATTTCCCCACGTCAGACGCAGCAGCGTCTGACGCTCAAACTAACGTGTTACTTGCCGCGTTTGCGTCAGTTGCCATGGAAAAGCTCATGATTCTGACGCTGACGCAGCATTTTTGCCGTAGTGTGACCGAGGCCTGAACTAGAAGACAAAAAAAGCATAGGGATGTTATAAATTCTTTAAAAAAATCCTTTTTTTTAAGACATAACCTGGGATTCGAACCCGCACTATCGCGCGCCCTGCATGCATCCCCGATACACTTCGCATACATACTAATTCTTTCAAGTTGTTTCACATTGTGATCTTGCATTTGAAAGCCCTATTTGAATATGCATTGTGGCCAGCCGTCTTTGATGGCACGGTACGGTAGGGGATAGGTACGGGACAGGTACGATCGAGGGTAATACGACACCGTCTCCCGTACCGTACCATCAAACACAGCTGGCCATATACAGCTGCCCGCAATATTCAAATAGGGCTTTCAAACGCAAGATAATATCGTGAAGCAACTTGGAAGAATGGGTATGAATGCGAAGTGTATGGGGGAATGCATGTAGGGCGATAGTGCGGGTTCGAATCCCAGGATATGCCTGAAAAAAAAATAGGAGAATTGAAAAATTTATAACATCCTATGCTTTTTTGCCGTCAGATACGGATAGCGCCAGGCGTGACACAAACACACAAACAAATACCAAATTAAAGCTGTGTGGACCCTGGCTAGCGCCAGACGTTACTGAAGTAACGTCTTCTGCATAGCTACGGGAATTAAAGCTGTGTGGACCCTGGCTAGCGCCAGACGTTACCAGGCAGAAGTAACGTCTTCTGCATAGCTACGGGAATTAAAGCTGTGTGGACCCTGGCTAGCGCCAGACGTTACTGAAGTAACGTCTTCTGCATAGCTACGGGAATTAAAGTTTACATTTACACCAAATTTTCGGGCCTGGTCCGGACGACCATCTTTTGATAAAAGCCACGAGAAAACGTTTGAACTATAACTACATGTTGCTCTGGGTCTGCGTTCACATTTTTCTTATCCTTGTTGAAGCTTCTGTCTCCTTGTCGTCTCTTTAAAGCTTTATGTACCCGTACATGTGTGTGTGTGTGTGTGGTTTTTTTTTACAAAATACACGACTCACCGGCAGGGACATGGCCATGGAGCTAGCATGGGGTGAGGTGGTGCTGGTGGGGGTGGCCATGCTCAACCGACCAGAGGTCTCCGCATCTTCACATGACAGGCGCACTAAATTAGGGAGGGGAGCATAAGCATGAGGGGAAAAAAGGACGGGAGAAAATGGAAGATTTAGAACGAAGGAGAGGATCTAATTTTGGAACACAGCAGAAAATAGCAAATACATGCATGTAATCAAACAGATAATAGGAGTGAAAGAAGAGTGTCGAATGAAGGGTGCAATAGGGTAGCAATGGAGATTGGCTACTCAGGATTGGCGACAATTAGGCTTGGGGTGGGAGAAGCAGGGGCATAATCCCGGAGGAGGCTAGAGACGGTCGGTTAGTAGTAGTAGTAGTAGTAGAATTTATTCCCGTAGCTATGCAGAAGACGTTACTTCAGTAGCGTCTGGCGCTAGCCAGGGTCCACACAGCTTTAATTTGGTGTTTGTTTGTTTGTGTGTTTGTGTCACGCCTGGCGCTATCCCGTATCTGTCCCGTACCGTACCGTACCATCAAACACAGCTGGCCACATACCATGCATACAGCTGGCCGCACTATTCAAATAGAGCTTTCAAACGCAAAATCATAACGTGAAGCAACTTGGAAGAATGAGTATGAATGCGAAGTGTATGGGGGAATGCATGTAGGGCGATAGTGCGGGTTCCAATCCCAGGTAATGCCTTAAAAAGATAGGAAAATTGAAAAATTTATAACATCCCTATTCTTTTTTTGCCGTCATCAAGGCGGTAGGTGGTGTCGTATTACCCTCGACCGTACCTGTCCCGTACCGTACCGTACAATCAAAGCCGGCTGGCCACAATGCATATTCAAATAGGGCTTTCAAATACAAGATCATAACGTGAAGCAACTTGGAAGGATTAGTATGTATGCGAAGTGTATCAGGGGATGCATGTAGGGCGATAGTGCGGGTTCGAATCCCAGGTTATGTCTAAAAACAAAAAGTAGAAACTTATAAGAATTTATAACATCCCTATGCTTTCTTTGTCTAGGTCATCAAGGCAAAAAAGCATAGCGTAGGGCCCTGAGCTTCCAAGCTCTCTCGTTATTTTGATAGGGAAGGCCCAACAGACGTTGCCGTCTTGTTACAGGGAACCCTAAGTGCTCTTTACAGAGCGGAACAAAAACGGATAGATGCTCAACCTGACGACACGAGACAGGCAGAGAATTCCACCTATCAGTATCAGCGCCAAGGAAAGAAAATTAGAGAACATGCCATAATCTAGTGGTAGCAGCGGGCAAAGAAAGTGAAGGTTGCCCAGTCCCAGTCAGACTGCCTCAGGTGGTCATAGACGTCAGGCGAAATTACTGGTCAGTCGGCGACACGCATTTTTGCCGAAAATTTGCGTTTCACCTGCTGGGAGAGTATGCGTGTACTCGAGTCTCATCCTGAGCACGTTTTTTTCTTCTTTTTTCAGCTCCAGCATAGCTGTATTTTGCATTGCAAAGCCGTCCTCGATTGTTGTGTTCGTTGTTCAAACGAAGTGGACATTCAATCATGAAGGCAGAGGACATAGGAGCCTGATTGGAGTTTCTCGTGGCATAGGACGGCCACACAGAGACACAGACAAGCTTACCGACGGTTAGGCTGCCGACCTGACTGGACAAATGATCCCTGGCTTCACCAGATGCCAGAAGTCGGACACCATGTCCTTTGCCGCGACGTCCATCTCCAAAAAGACTCCCTCGTCGTCGTGAAAAGGCTTGAAATACTCAATATTCAACCGAGATTCGCGGTCGTACCCTTTCTCAGATCGAATCATAAATTTTTGTTGTAACTAACTTGTAGCAGTTGCGGTTGCAGGGCAGCTTCCCGCCACTGTTTCCACAGCCGATGACATGATGACGCCGATGGCTCCAAAGCAGGGAGTCGTAAAATACCGGTATTTTACGACTCCCTGCTCCAAAGCATGTGGAACAAGCCATTATCAAGGTTGCAAGCAGGGAGTCGTAAAATACCGGTATTTTACGACTCCCTAGTTGGTTGCACAACAAAGATTTCACAGTTTGAAAAGTAGTGCAGTGCATGGCGATTGTTGATTTCGTTGCTTTGGTTTGGTTTGCTTTTGGTCAGATCAGCAAACTAAAAACAGAGTACCGATAGTTAGCTGCTCTTACTCCAGGCCCTCCATTCAATCAATGTTTTCAGAACTTCGTCGTAGACTTTGCTGTGGTTCAGCGTCGCTGATCTCGTGCGCTGGAAAACTTCAGCAGCGCTTGATCATGGGCAGTTTCCAGTCATCGACTGTGCCCCCAGTCGAGGCCGTCAAGGCCGTAGATGAGGCGATCACCTCTCACTCTCTCACCGTCTTTTCCAAGACTACTTGTCCTTATTGCGTCCGGGCGAAGCAGCTGCTCAGAGAAGTGGGAGCGAAGCCGTTTGTAATGGAGCTGGACACTCGCTCGGACGGTTACGTCATCCAGGACGAGCTGCAGCGTCGAACCGGCTCCAGGTCCGTGCCGAAAGTGTTCGTCAGAGAGAAGTGCATCGGCGGCTGCGATGACACTGTTAGCCTGCATCGACAAGGCCGCCTGGTAAGCATGCTAAAGGAAGCGGGAGCCCTGTAGAGCTGTGTCATGATGATGCACTGCAATGCAACACATGCACGGCCACCGACTCCCGTAAAGGGCCGTACTAGTATATGCAACAGACCTCGCGCTTACGTGCAAACAAATCTCAAGTCAAGCCAGTACTTCTGCATCTCATGGCTTAAGTTTTGTAGTGCTACGCGGACCCCAGCCGTATACTAATCCGGTAGAGGCTCAGGGTGAACTCGTCCTACTGCTGGATCCTATTGCACCGGAAGTCACTCACGTTTGATTCAGCGCCTGGTGTACTGTAGCTGGCTGGGGTGATGGTGCAGTTGGAGCCTCGGCGGCTTTCGATAATCATCTGAGAAGCGGAGGCGAGCCGAAAGCACGGCATACACCATGGTCTGCCCGTAGAGTGCCATCGTATGTGTGTGTGTGTGTGTGTGTGTGTGTGTGTGTGTGTGTGTGTGTGTGTGTGTGTGTGTGTGTGTGTGCTTGTGTGTGTGCACAAGTTGCTATGTCTAACATAGCTGTTCGCTATCATCGCTTCCGCGATGGGCAGGTCTGAAGTCTGCGGTCTGAGGTGTGTGTGTGTGTGTGTGTGTGTGTGTGTGTGTGTGTGTGTGTGTGCAGCAAACCCGTATCAGTGTGAATGCAACACAGACACAACTACTAGTATACTACAGTGCTGCTGCTCAATCAACTCCAGTCGCGGCGGCGCTCAGGTGCGCGCCGGGCGTTGCGCAGCCCTAGACGACCTGCGAACTCTGCACTGGGCCGCGAAACGGTGCAGGGCGCAAGCTTGAGTGGCGTCGATGACGCGACTGGATTTCACACAACTCTGTAGTATAGTGAACAATGTGCCGGGCGCCTGAGCTTGTTTAGCTTAGCTTGGCCCCCGGGCTTGCCATGCTGCGCTGAGGAAATCGATAGACTAGAAGTGTTCTGGCAACACCCATGATCATGTGTTTATGCTGTATTATAAGCCTGTTTCGATCACATTTTCAATCGAGCACATTCAAGCTCCATTCTTCTCTCAACCATGAATTTGTTTTCCTTATTTATATCAGCGGTTTATCACGTTTATGACGTCTACGGCCAGTGTTAGTTGATAAACCAACAGTGTGCGCGTGCTTGCTTTTGGTGTAAATGATGTAGTGTTTTTGTTTGTTTGTAAAATTAGTTTGCCTGGCATTGCCGACGTGCAGCAGCAGCATAATTTGCAGTGCTCGATTCTGGCCATGATAGTATCTTAGGGTACTGCCGATACAGTCAATCGGTGCTGCTGTCCATGGTGCCTATAGGAAAATAAGCCACGGACGAGTGTGCTAGGGATGAGACCTACTTGCGTTGTCATGATTATGCACAACGTCGACGAGCATCTACGTAAAAAAAAGGCGTTGGATGCGGTCCCTCCTGTAATGAGTCACCGTGTTCACTGTACTAGAAGAGATCTACATGTACATGACAGGCCTAGTCGACTGTGAGTGTGAGGGTATGCCAATCAAGGATCACCCGGTATACGCGGTCCGGGGTCCCACCATGTGCACGTGGCTAGTAGTAGCCCAAGTACGGTATTGCAAAACAGGTTATTTTCGGTGAAACTTTAATTTCGGTGATTTCTGAAGACCAAAATTTAGATTACACGTATACGCGTATTACAACGGCACCTGAGTGTGCCCTGTATACATGTATATGAAGGGAAATCTGGTCACCTAATTCTACCTTTACACCTGAAACCTGGCAGGTCCCTCGCCCTGGCACCGAAATTTTAGTGCTCCAAACAGTTCTACAGACAGTGTTTGAATCAGGGAGTAGTAAAATACAGTGTATTTTACTACTCCCTGGTTTGAATGAAGTATTTCCCTGGTCATGGCCGGCCCGCGGCGCTGTCCTCGAGATCCCGCGAAAATGTATCACAATTTTTTTGAATCATAACTCATGAACTCTGATTGACTGTACAGTACTCTTGCTACAAGTACAATACAATCATGTTGTACCTGTATTGTCACCTACTGTAAAGACAAGCGCTGGTGCTGTCGCAAATTGTTGCCCAAATTGTTTTCCGCCTGTGTACGGTGTAGATCCAACGCTCCAAGTGCTATCTCTTTACTATTAGACTAATTCAAGTCCTATCCTCCTTGTTGGATTGGAACTGAGGAAGAGTTTTAGACCTATTGCACCAAACGTAAAGCGGAGAGGAGTCGAACACTTCTGTAAGACTTGCATACTAGCATACTAGCATATCTGTTCACAACTTCAAAAAAGTCAGATCTTTTCTCCTATTGCAAAGGCGACGTGGAGACAAAGGTCTAAGTAAAGAAATGTGAAGAACTATTCACATTACACATGTATGTATGTGCCTAAGTAGTATAATTTGGATGCTCTTTGTTCACACGCATTAAAAACTGTTTACTACATGTAGTATAAAATCTTCTTGTTGTTTCCAATGCATGCGATGGGTAGTCCCAGGGATAAACGTGACCAGAAAACGTTCTTAAAATCGAACTACTGCAAGTAGTTCATTGCTATGGTTGCCTGTTGTGTAACGAATGCGCACACATTCACATTCCTTGCGCTTCACCTGATACTTGCAGTGTGTAAAATTGCAGCAAAAGAACTTTTGACTGTATCACGTTTGTCCGGACAGTTTAGTGCCAGGCACTGTCCGTACGCTCGAAATTCCTATACCTTCCACAACCCTGAATCTCATACAATTCAGTGGTGGTGGTGGTGGTGTGTGTGTGTGTGCATTTAGTGTGCTGTCAGAAGTGCTGCTCATCAAAGGAGCGACCGTTCGACATTTTCTTCGGGCTGCGAAAACTCACGCTTCCTATGAATCCACACACAGGCTGGTGGGACGCAGCCCTCGCTATTAGACCCACACACTTCACCTACAAACTAGCACGTGGTAGTAGTATACCGGTACATGTACTGTAATTTCACAAATTTTCGGTGTACTTTTATTTTCGGTGCATCTGTTTCATATCTAAAATTTCAATACACCGAGCAAATACTAACAAACATAATCCAATAGGGAACTGCTTCTCTGTACCAAAACTTTCTGTTCACCTAACCTGGCCTTTTGCCCTCATACCGAAAATATTGAGCACCGAAAATTTCTGAAATTAGAGTATCCGCTGGGCCACGTCTAAAAGGGTGCCAGGTAGACTGAAGTGCCGCTGGCAGCTCAGAATTTGGGTTGGGAACAACTCTGCCCATGCTCTGTAGCGGTGAGGCTAGTATGTGTGTGTGTGGGGGGGGGGGGGGGGGGGGGGATGGCGAATCTCGATTGAGTGCGAGCAGGTGGTGTGGTCCGAGCAACACCCGCCCAATCGAACAAAGCAACGGTGTAGTACGTTGAATGGTACGCATATCGTACAAAGATTCTGTGAAGGCTGTCAAAAAAACGTCCCTATTTCCTGGGGGGCCGGTGTGGTCAGATTGCATTTCAAGTGCACCTACTCCGAATTCGCCCAATCGATCATACACTATGCTCCTTGTGTTTCTGCCGCAAAGGATGAGAAGTTCTTTTTCCGACTCCGAAGTCCACAATATTGTTACCATGGCATCAGACTGTTAGGCTAGTGTTAGCTTTAGCATGGGGTGGCGGGGATTGTGCACTCAGGGCTTTACTGTGTGTTTTCGGTGTGTATGCAGTGTTCTAGCCAAAGGAGGCGGGGGGTGCAGCCCCCCCCCCCCCCCCGCACTCCGATAGCGCACTACATTGTGCACTACTCGTGTTTCGATTTTTTCAGTTCACACACCGACAATGGACCACAAATCGATCGTTCCAGGCGCTCTATTCACCCGTAACCAGCATTTGTTTGCTACAAGACAATAGTGAAACATGGAAAATGGGTGAATTGTTTGTCCCCCTCCGCCCCTCCTCCACCCCCTACAATTGTTTTCCCCTGGCCCGAACTCTGGTATGGTTTCTAGTAGACTTTCTACTCACCGTGCCTTCTCGTTTCATTCTGGTTGTCTTTGACAGGGTTGGCAGTTGGACGACTGGTGCGAACGTTGACATTTCCTCTGCACGTGCGTCGCGGGAGGTTGTCACTGTGCTTGTACGCGCGTTTGTTTCCACCGCGTTTCCGTCCCGACACAGCCGGCCAGTCCAGCCCCTACACGTACCAGGTAGAGTCTTGTTGAACAGTGTCGTATAGCCTCTTTGCTTTCTCTGTCTCTGGGCACGGCACGTTGTTAATGCACGCCGTTACGACGGGCTGCACACTCACGGCAGGCACTTTTATCGCGTTGCGTGTTAGCAGTACGAATAGCGGATGTTCGCCATGGTAGAGCATAGATCCGTGCTTCTGCCCAGGCGTGGACCAAGTGCTTCTGGTCTTACGGTATTGCTCGCACTATGGAGCAGTGGCGTGCTGATGATGTTTGCCGGCGTGGCTTGTGTCAGTGCAGCCACCGCTCCGAAGCGACCCGTGATCATCGACACTGACCTGGGCTCCTACATGGACGACACTGCCGCCATTCTGCTGGCCCTCCAGAGCCCAGAGCTGGACGTCAAGCTGATCGTCACGGCAACCAACGACACCACGGCACGCGCCCGCGTCATGGCCAAGTACCTGCTGGCGGTGAACCGCACGGACGTGCCGATCGGGATCGGCGTTCCCGGCTTGGAAACGCTGCAGACGCTCTACGCGTGGGCTGGAAACATCGACCTGCGCACGTATACTGAAAAGCAAGGCGGCACCGTGTACGAAGACGGCGTGAAGGCCATGTATGACGTCATCGTGAGCTCGCCGATACCCGTCGACATCATCGCCATAGCGCCGCCGACCAACTTCCCCAGCTTGCTGAAGCGTTACCCGGCGGCGGTGTACAGCGTGAATTCCGTGCGCGCCATGATTGGCAGCATTCACCGTGGCTATGACAACAGCACCACGCCGGTGGCCGAGTACAACGCGCGCCTGTGCGTGGAGTGCACACGCGTCATGTTCGCGGCGAACTGGCCCGTCGCCATGACGCCGCTGGACACGTGCGGCTACGTGAACCTGGCCGGCGTGTCGTACCACGCGCTGCTACGCGGCGACAGCGAGGCCAGTCGCGCCTTCGCCGAATCCTGGGTGTACTTCTGCTCGGTGAGCGGCGTCGATCATTGCTCACTGATGCCGCTGCGCAGCGGGCCGCTCATGGATACCGTGGCAACCCTGCTGGCCATGCCGACGACGGCGGAGGAGTTTGTGCAGATGACGGCGCTGCGGATAAACGTCACCGCCACGGGTATGACGGTGGTGGTGGGTGGTGGCGAAGGTCGCTCGGTGGACGTGGCTCTGTCCTGGCGCGACGGCAACCTGGGCCTCTCGCAGTTCCTGATGTGGCTGGGCAAGAGCATTGCGGGCGCTGGCGACTTGTAACTATTGACGGTGAGCTGTGGCGAGTATGTGTGGGTGGGTGAATGATCAACGGTTGCAGTGCCGGGCGTTGTGTCATGTGTCGCTACGATGACTCGTGCGCCACTACAATGACTCGTTATGATTGTGATGAGCCACGCTGAGTCATGATGTGCTGTACGACTGCACGTTAGTTGCGTACATTGGGTGCCCATGTGTGTGATCCTTGATGCCGTTCGCTGGTGTATTTCTTGCTCGACGGCACCCCGATGGCCGTAGGTGTGTGTGTGTGTGTGCGAGCACGGCAGCGAGTGCAGTGGTGAACATAGCGACGAGCACAGTGGAGACGTATGGTGCCTGGTGGCCAGATATTCGTTCCCTGCTGGTGTACTGCGTTGTCTGCTCCCCGGGGAAAGCGCAAGAGGATGATGGCGCTCTGACTCCTACATGATCACGTGCTGTGCGCCCACGTTTGATCACCTTTATATTATTGTGCTCACACTTGATCATGCGCATGCAGTGTGTGTGCGATTGAGTTTCATCGGGTTTTTTTCTTTCTTTCTTTCATTCTTTCTTTTCTGAAAGACTATGTCCCCATTGTTTGATGTAACTTGTTTCGAAGGCAATCGTCCTGAGTCCTTCATTTTCTTTCAGACTTGTCAGGCCTAGCTGGTTCGTCTGCGTACTGTATGTTTCTCTGGTATCAGCGCAGTGTCTGATGAATGCACGTCTCCACTGTTAGCAACCTGTGTACATGTGTTGAGAGTGAGCAGTGTGTGCACTCATCGAAATAAACTAAACAGTCTCCAATAAAGGCACATCAGCATCTGTGTCTCCAGTCCTTGCATTGTGGATTTATCATAGTGATAATTATGCTCACTAGTATAAAGGCCGATTCATACTTCATTTCGCGTACGGGAAAGTCATCGCGCGATCGTCGCGCGACGACTTTCCCGTACGCGAAATAGTTGAGCTCAAGTCAACTTGTTCGCGATGCGACGCGTTTCCCGTACGCGCAACGAAGTATGAATCAGGCTTTATGCTATTGAACCCCCATAATGTAGCTGCTATAGTGTACTAAGTAAATGACCAGGCTAGAATTTCACCAAGTTTTGGTGAAATTCTAGCCTATTCGTTCTTCGGCACCCGGCAGTACTGTAAAACTAAAACATGTAATTTTAGGTGTATTAAAAATTTAAAAATTTCGGTGTCAGGGACCTGCCAGGTTTCAGGTGTAATGTAGAATTAGGTGACCTGCATTCCCTTCACATACAGTGTGTACTCTAGAGGCTTTTAGGTGGAATTTAAATTTTGGGGTGGGGGGGGGAAGGACAGAACAGTGACTGTGTTCATGGTGCCAGGGCCGTGCAGTGTCCAGCGTTATTCGGTTCACATGCTTTACAGTGCATTTCAAAACTATAGACGCGTAGGGTTTTTGAAATATTTCAAATTTGGCTGGAACTTTTTGAGAATAGTTTTCGGAATATTGCTCAGGACCGCTCCACAATTACTCTCATATAGTTTCTAAACGATTGGATAACAGACGCCCAATTTGGAAAAATTTATGCACAAAGTGATCACAGATTTTATGTGGTCTAGATGCTGGCATAACGGTTTTTGCCTAGGTACGCGTCTATAGTTTTGAAATGTACTGTATACGTCATTGAATATTGCAGCCTGCTACTGTAGTTTCATTAGTACAGTAGCATGATGTGTTGTCATGTAAGGTGTTAGGTGTTAGGTCGTCACAGAGTGTTCTATCAGATGGAACTCAGAATTTCGGGCGCATGTTTGCCCTCTTTTCTCCTTTTTTTAAACCGTAAATGGCGGTACCAGCTCTTTCCGATAACAACCAACTATTCATCGTTGTGATCAAGAGTGCATCCGTGGTTGGGCTCACCCTCTCCTCAATTGAATTGGCTGTCTTGACATGCTACGAGGTGCAGAAATAAAATAAATCACATGGCTGGTTGTTTCAGCCCTAATTTACTTAGGGATGCAATGATGCAATACACATCATAGCTCGTATGGTCCTCTGTCCAGCCTAATACAGTAATAGCAATCACCATAGCAAGTTAGTTAGCAACACATTCAGCCAACGCCAGGGTTCTAGCCAGGTTTCATAAAGACATGATTATCGGGAGGGAAGTTGGGGGTACGGGGGCGAAGCCCCCGTCCGTTGCATTTTGTGTGGCAAGTCAATTTTGGAAAATGGAAAAAAATGGGTTACCGGTACCTGTTTCCCCGGCCCGCCCCCCCCCCCCCCCCTACTATTTTTACCTGGCTAGAACCCTGCAACGCCATAATGTAACGTTCTTTTCATGTGTGCTTGGCCACAGATTTCAGTGACGCTGAGCGCAACCTGCCATCGCCTGCGTTGCCAACTCCGTACCTGCTGCAGTGTGAGTGTTCTGTACTGGTTTGAGACGTACCCGGAGCGAACGGTTTGCAGATCCGGCACACCTCTCTATCTGTGCGCTGTCGGGAGTCGTTGATCCTGCGCTTGTCCTGCCCTGCCGCCGCCCCAACGTTTAGCCTAGTGTGTGTGTGCGCGCCACTCTGCAATGGCCACTCTCAGGGACTGGAGTCCGAGCACTGCGTGGCGGGCGTGCGTGATGCTGTGCAGCGTGATCGCTGTTACCATGGCGACTAGCGCCGCCGCCGCTCCAAAGCGACCGGTGATCATCGACACTGACCTTGGCTCCTACATGGACGACACCGCCGCCATTCTGCTGGCCCTGCAGAGCCCAGAGCTGGACGTCAAGCTGATTGTCACGGCAACCAACGACACCACGGCACGCGCCCGCATCATGGCCAAGTACCTGCTGGCGGTAAACCGCACGGACGTCCCCATTGGCGTTGGTGTGCCAGGTATCGATACCATACAGACACTCTACGACTGGGCTGGCAACGTCAACTTGGACACATACACTGAAAAGCAAGGCGGCATCATCTACGAAGACGGCGTGAAGGCCATGTATGACGTCATCATGAGCTCGCCGATACCCGTCGACATCATCGCCATAGCACCGCCGACCAACTTCCCCAGCTTGCTGAAGCGCTACCCGGAGGTGGTGCCGCGTGTGCACGCCGTGCGCGCCATGATTGGCAGCATCCACCACGGCTACAACAACTCGACGGTGCCGGTGGCGGAGTACAATGCGCGCCTGTGCGTGGAGTGCACACGCTCCCTGCTGTCGGCCGCCTGGCCGGTCGCCGTGACACCGCTGGATACTTGCGGCGTGGCCATACTGCGAGGGGAGTCGTTCTCGGCCCTGCTCCGCGGCGGCCCGGCTGGCATGGCGTTCGCCGAGTCCTGGGTGTACCTATGCCCGCGCTGCCCACTACAACAGTGCTCCCTCTCGCCAGTGCTCTCCAGCGGCGCGCTGATGGACGCCGTGGCGACGATGATGTCCACGTCCGCCGCCGACGGATTCCTGGAGATGACCGCGCTGCGGCTGGTCGTCACGGACGCGGGCATGACGGTGGTGGCGAAGGAGGGCGGCGGCGGTAGCCGCGTCGATGTGGCCTTGACTTGGAGCGGCGGTGACGTGGGCCTCTCTGAATTCCTGCTCTGGCTGGGCAGCTCGATTGCCAACCAGGGCAGGGGTTAGTTAGGACATGACTGATCACTGATCACCAGCTAGCTTTTAACCAGCAGCATCCAGGACTGTGAACTATAATGTGCCCCGGTGTACAGTATAGTGCTGGCATGCCCGTTTTCTAACTCTAACTCTGTCCTGTACTAGCTATATTCGCACATGTGATGGTGGCTACGTACGTGGCGGAGTGGACACTGCAGTCAGTGCATGTATGATGCTGCATGTGCTGCCGCTCTGTTGCAGGAGCACGAGAAGGAATGAGAACGCATGCAAGTTGTTGCCGGCGCTTCATGGTAACACTGAAGCACATGTTTTGAGTGTTGTGTGCCCATTTGTTCCTACCGGTAATTTGTTTTTGTGTTATTGCCAAGTTTCACGTGCGGTCGTGCTGATCTGCAGTCCTCTCTGCGCCCACTCCACACTATACAGCTACAGTGGAGTTGATATGGGGTAAACCTTCTTCATTCGCTTCAAGGGAGCTGTGTACTTCATCTGTTTTTTTGTTTGTTTGTTTTTTGCCTTGACCCTGGAGGGTTGGTGCGCTGTGTTATACTCAGTATCCCCCCCCCCCCCCCCACACACACACATGTTGTGTTATTATGTGATGACATGTGCAGTGCATCGTACACAGCAAAGCAATCCAGTGTGAACAGTCACACTTGCCGTGCACATGTCCTACAGTACATGTACTGCTCCATGAAATCTGATCGAGTCACTCATGCAAGTTTGCGCCGCGGGCATTGCACAGCCCTAGATCTGCAAACACTGGGCTGCGAAGTGCGTGGTGCAGGGCGCAGACTTGACTCACACGATCGGATTTCATTGAGCAACACGGTACTCTTGACTGCATGAATCAGAAGCACTGCAGTACTGGTCTGTGGTGCATATACAGCAGTAGACCGTCTACAATAATTATAATCACTTCACCAGTCGACTTGAAGACCTACAGTACCGCCGGGCACCGAAGAACGACCAGGCTAGAATTTCACCAAGCACAGCATACCAATGTATACACGGTGACTCAACAGTGCATAGACTGTGTAATACATGAAAATAAGAACGGTCTAGGCTAGGACTAGGCTGACCCCCCCCCAGTTCTTTGGCCATAGACTGTACTGTACACACCACGAAATCCGACCCACGCGTCAAGAGTAGCGCCGAGTTTCCATTTCAATTACATCATGCACCACATGTTTTGATGCAGCATGATTATTCTGGCTGCATGCTGGTTTCGGAAAGCTCAATGCACACTCAAGTCAAGGTGGTCAGCAATGATCTTAAAATTGGCTAGGCACAAAATAAGATAGCTAACAGAGCAGAACGGGCCAAACACACCCACCAACATGATGTGCAGTGGCAAAGAATGGCGATGAGGATAATAGTGGCGGGGGCAACGCGGATAAGGACAAACGGCGGCAAGGATGATGGCAGCCAGGATAACGTGGATACTGTAGCAAGCACAAGTACATTGGTCTACACCCGATACACTGCTGGATTTACTGATAAGCCATTACAACGCACAATATCCTGCAGTGGCACAGCCACAGCTTAGGACTGAACACAACCAAACACAAGATATGAGCAGTGGAAGAAGAGAAAGAACACTCTAGTTTTGCACACTGGATATTGAATGCACAAAACGATAATACGGTACAGAAACTGCAATTTCTGATGCTACAGTGATACACGGGTAAACAGCGCGGAGACTGCATGCGGCGCAGGTGGAAATACTTCATGTTCATGCTACTAGTAGTCAGTAGTATTGATTCACAGGGCAGGATACTGATCTCTTGCTGTCACGGTCAGCTTGTTGCACTCTGCAGTCTCACCAGTACAGTGCCAGTAGTAGTCATGTTAGAATGTATCTAATCCACGTCATTCTTCACCGGGGTGCCATCCCAAGACAGGCACTATGGCAAGGGTTTACAGTCACACGGCGGAGGCACGGTTCTCCGCATAACACCGTCATGCTCACGGTTCAAACGCCTCCTCTTCGGCGTCGTAGCGCATCAGCTTGGTGTCGACGTTCATGCGCTGCAGGAACTCGGTCAGAGCGCAGCGAGGCTCGGGCATGAGGGCGTGCAGTTCCAGCAAGGCATCCTGGCCGGCCTGTCGCCACCGACCGATCAGCTCCGACAGTTCTTGCGGGTTGTGCTGTGCAATGACATCACACGAAAATAGAGAATGCAAGCTACAGTGCTGTGCAATGACATCACACGGAAATAGAGAATGCAAGCTACAGTGCTGATCAATGACATCATACGAAAATAGAGAATGCAAGCTACAGTGCTGTGCAATGACATCACACGGAAATAGAGAATGCAAGCTACAGTGCTGATCAATGACATCATACGAAAATAGAGAATGCAAGCTACAGTGCTGATCGATGACATCACACAGGAACGCAAACTACAGTGCTGATCAATGACATCAGATCAAACGAGTCAACGCCATGCCGGGTGCCGTTTAGCTCTAGACTGCTAGCTGAGCGGGGTACTATTGGCCAAAACGTTCCGCTTAGATCGGATGCTGATTGGCTGGAAGAATGGTTTCCAACTGTACCATTTACATGGGATAAAGAGTGGATAGAGATAATAGTAATAAAAGTCTCATCAATAAAGTGTGGAAAAAGAAGAAAAAATGTTTCCGCTCGGGTTCGAACCGAGGACCTTGTGCGTGTGAAGCACACGTGATAACCACTACACTACGGAAACTCACCATGCTGGAAGAAATGGACCAGAGCACTTCTTTCCAGCAGTCGAGACTCATTGTACACCTGTTTGTTGTACATTGTTAGTTTGTGTGTGTGTGGGGGGGGGGGGGGGGGATTCCATTTTTGTATTTTGTATACAGTATGTGGATTCTCCGCAGACCTAAGGCTAAATCGAGGGAATCTCTAATTACGTTGTGACTGTTGTCCAGAGAAAGTGATATTTACACTGGCACTCTGTGTGAAACTCTCCACTGCACAGCTGTGTGTGTGCGCTCGTGCGCGCGCAGCTGTGTGCTATGCGCTTACTTGCTCACCTTTGAACGGTACAGCTGCACGAGGCGTAGCTTGCGTAACTTCTCGCGGTCTGCTTCCAGCTGGGCAGTCAACTCCGAGTGCTGCGCTTCGACGGCGTCTTTCTCGCCGTGGTCCGTTCCTCCACACTGCTCATCCGAGACGACTGGAGTGGTGGTTGCTATGGTACTGCATGCGGATGGTGGTGTGAGTGAAGCCGGTGTGCCGGAGAGAGATGGTTGCGGAATGGGCGCTGCGGCACTGAGCGCTGTCTGACTCGTGTCCTGCGAAGACGAAGCCCATCCGGAATCGCCATCATCGCAGTCGACATCAGCACCTGTATGACTACGCTCGTCTCGCGATGTGACTGTGCTGGAGGCGGGTAAATCAGAACTAACCGTCGGTGGTGACAGTTGTTCGCCTACATCATGCCTCCTCACAAGACCCTCAGGATCAGCAGACAAGCTCTGAGGCGAGTCCGGGAGCGGTTGAAGCCCGAACGGCGGCGAAATCAAATCGGGATTGCCGAGCGGCGGGACGGGATCCGTGCTGCCGATGTGCTGCCGTCGATTGGCCGTCTTTGGTCGGCAGGGTGTCACTTGATCCGGTGTGAGTGTAGTCGGTGTGGTGTTGACTACGCAGTCTGATACAGAGCTGGTGTTTCCTTCAGAGAAGGTGGTGTTATCAGTATGCGGCTGGTGTGCATCAGTGTCGGTACGTGCCTTCTTGGCATTGTCCAGGACTGGAGACTAAATACAAGCGGGGCAAAAGAGGACACATGTAGAAGTTGAACTCGGATGATGAGCCAATTTAATTATGGTAAAAAAGGAGAAGGACAGAATGTTACGAGTTATGACTAACTGTCTACCATTGGAAGGTTGTTGGTTTGCGCCTTGGAGAAGTGTCGGAGCTAGGTGTCAGATCGCTGAATGTCTCAGTACTCCTTGTCAGTGATGTGCCATTTTGTCGCACTCGCTGAGTGTATAAGATCTGGTTACGTCGGTGGACAGTTAGTCATAACTCGTAACATTTTGTTCTTCTCCTTTTTTTACATATAGAAGTAAACATGTGGGTCGGGTACGCGGAGACACATGGATACCCACACGTAGACGCACACAAACACACAGACACACACTGCCCACCACCCCCACACACATACACACACGCGCATTCACGTGCACACACACACACACACATAAATTCCCATAGCCCACTGCACGACACGCCAAAGGAGCTGCTATGCAGCCATCTGTACACTATGCTCTGTGTGCGCATGTGTGTGTTCCCAGTATGCATACACATGTACACACTCTGTGGATGATGAAATAATGAAACTGCACAAAAAGGTTTGAAGCAGATCAAGTCATTGACACCCCCTCCCAGCTGTCTACAGTATTCCAAACCAACTACCACATAGTGCTCACCACAGGGGCGTAGCCAGGATTGTGGCTGAGGGGGGTGCTCACTGGAAGTGTGGGCCTGCGCCCGAAGTGCGCGAAAAATGGGGGGGTCCGGGGGCCGTCCCCCGGAAAATGTTTCGATATTGAGTGCCAAATCCTTCATTTTTGCATCTATTTCATTATTTTCCATTCCACCAATGATTTAATAAAAAGTCAGATAATCGTATGAAACGCACAGTACTTTGCTACAGAAGTTGGATGGTAAGAGATTGACAGGGTGTGGTTAGACCCAGAATATAATACACACAATTGTTGAAGTTCGTTCAATCCACGATTGAATACATGTAATCACCAGGACACTGCTGCACATTATACCAGCCAGGATAGGAAAATTTTATAATACAGGGGAAATCTTATTATACAGTTATTAGAGGTTACGTATGTCTGCCGACGAGTGCTCATGTTCAATCCGCCTCATGAGATTTGTAGCGGCTGGGGACCTTCATCCAGGATTGCATTGAAGCAGACCACAAGCATGGGGTGAAGGGCCAGGAAGGATTCCAGTGCATCAAGTCGCTGCACCCACCGTGTCCTGCAGAGATCCTTTACCTTGGATGTATCAGGTTCCTCGTCTGCATCATTCAAAGCGGCCTCGAGCGCTTTCTGGCGTTTCGGATGGGAGTCGAAGAAAACTGCTACTCGGGTGACGACGCCCATCATATTCTGCACCAAACGATCTTGCAGGGCCCCGTCGTGCAGCGCAGCGTCGTGTGGCGTCGATCTTGTCGACGTCGAGTCTCGATCGCGGGCGGGCGTAGATCCACAGCAGTACGAAAATGGTACCTGGAATTTTTGAGGGGGGTGCTTGGGCACCCAAAGCACCCCCCTGGCTACGCCACTGCACCAGATGCAGGGACAGGGGACAAGGGATGGGTACAGGGATATGGGGTGGGGGACAGGGATGGGGATAGGACATGGGGATAGGGGACAGAGGATGGGAGACGGGGATAGGGGAAGGGGGGACAGGGATGGGGATAGGGGACAGGGACAGGAGACGGAGGATAGGGATGGGAACATGGACAGGGGGGGGGGGGGGGGGGGGGGGCAGGGGATAGGCCTATAGGGCAGGTGATGGGGGATGGGAGACAGCGGGGAGGCAGACTAGTTGGCTCACCTGAAACGAGGAGCGTCGTCGTCGAGAACGTGCCAGTCTCTCCTTCAGTGCCGCACTCATGTTAGGTAACCATCAGGACCGCAATATATACACTCGGTGACTGCACCGGTACGTCAGTGTTAGGGCAATATACACACTCAGTGAAGCCACCAATACGTCAGCGTGAGAGCAACATAGTGATTACAGCCGCTTGGTGATCAGCGTGAGGGCAGTACAGCGGGCACACGCTTGGTGACCAGCGTCAGGACAATGCAGCGAGTACACACTTGATGACTACGCCTGTCCGATAGCGCAATCTGCACCACAGTGAAGAGAAAACCAAACAGAAGAAAATATTTCCGCATTCGTGTTCGCACACATTCGCGCCAGCATCTCTTTCGTCAGCCAGACCTAAGTCTTCCAAAGTTGCTGGCAACTGGTTGTACATTGTCACAGGCACCACAAGCCTGTGGTACACCGACAATGGCAAAGTGGAACAGTGGCACCTGAGAAGGTACTAGACCAAACTGTGCTCATTTTTACGTGTCCTCAATTTGTAGGTGTCCCCAGTCTGGAGGTTCAGGCGTGTGAATGCATGCACCTCGAAGGGACTGCCGTACAAACACACATGTGTTGGCATTACTAGCACTATGGTGTTGGTTGCTATGGCTACCGCGGATCTTATCAAGTAAGAATTTAGTTGAACAAACAAACACACTCCCTACATGTCAATTCTCTCTCTCTCTCTCTCTCTCTCTCTCTCTCTCTCTCTCTCTCTCTCTCTCTCTCTCTCTCTCTCTCTCTCTCTCTCTCTCTCTCTCTCTCTCTCTCTCTCTCTGTCTCTCTGTCTCTCTGTCTCTCTGTCTCTCTGTCTCTCTGTCTCTCTCTCTAGTCTGTAATCCCATTATATCTCAGTGGTGAATGCATGCTGCCATGGTTTAGTATCGCTGAGTCTCTATTCTGGACCACAGCACTGCTACAGTAACGTTATAGACATTAGGAATGGACGCCACGCTCAAAACGGAGGGCCGCTAGATAAGGATACAAAGCTGCCGCCTGCAATCTTTCCCGGAACTGCAACACACCGGCAGTTTTCTGGCTAGTCTCAGTGACGTCATCAGCAGAATGTGCCGGATAGGGCACACTGCTGGCTGGTTCACTTAGTTTGATTGGAATTACACAGCACACATACATGTACCAGGGTTCTAGCCAGGTTAAAATAATAGGGGAGGGGGCAGGGAAAACAGCTACCCCGTAATGCATTTTTTTCCATTTTCAAAATAACTGTCTTCCAATGCGAAATGGGCGAACACCTGACTTCACCCCAGGCAAATGTGCCTTTATGAACCCTCTAGTACTGACCATCGACTGCATTTGCGTTGAATGGCATGGAAAAAACCCAAAATCGGAAAATGAGTAGGGGGCGCGCAAACAGAGTAGGAGGGCGCTGTGCCCCCCCCCCCCCCCCCTACCCCCCTTTGGCTAGAACCCTGATGTACACATTATTATCTGATGTCAGTCGGTCTGTGAACAAACACATTGCAAACGGCCTCCCGCTCGGATGATGGCCATTCAAGTCAGCCGTGACCCAAACTGTAAGAACCCTGAAAAATATGCTGTGTTGAGAAAAGGTAGAGTTACTGAGTTACTGAGTTACTGTGTTACTGTGTTACTGTGTTACTGAGTTACTGAGTTACTGAGTTACTGTGTTACTGAGTTACTGAGTTACTGAGTTACTGTGTTACTGAGTTACTGAGTTACTGAGTTACTGAGTTACTGAGTTACTGTGTTACTGAGTTACTGAGTTACTGAGTTACTGTGTTACTGAGTTACTGTGTTACTGAGTTACTGTGTTACTGAGTTACTGTGTTACTGTGTTACTGAGTTACTGTGTTACTGTGTTACTGAGTTATTGTGTTACTGAGTTACTGTGTTACTGTGTTACTGTGTTACTGAGTTACTGTGTTACTGAGTTACTGAGTTACTGTGTTACTGTGTTACTGAGTTACTGAGTTACTGTGTTACTGAGTTACTGAGTTACTGTGTTACTGTGTTACTGAGTTACTGTGTTACTGAGTTACTGAGTTACTGAGTTAAATTCGCTAATAACGACTGCGGATAGAACGACAATTCGCTAATAACAACTGCGGATAGAACGACAATTCGCTAATAACGACTGCGGATAGAACGACAATTCGCTAATAACGACTGCGGATATAACGACAATTCGCTAATAACAACTGCGGATAGAACGACAATTCGCTAATAACGACTGCGGATAGAACGACAATTCGCTAATAACGACTGCGGATATAACGACAATTCGCTAATAACAACTGCGGATATAACGACAATTCGCTAATAACGACTGCGGATATAACGACAATTCGCTAATAACGACTGCGGATATAAGGACAATTCGCTAATAACAACTGCGGATATAACGACAATTCGCTAATAACGACTGCGGATATAACGACAATTCGCTAATAACGACTGCGGATATAACGACAATTCGCTAATAACGACTGCGGATATAACGACAATTCGCTAATAACAACTGCGGATATAACGACAATTCGCTAATAACGACTGCGGATATAACGACAATTCGCTAATAACGACTGCGGATATAACGACAATTCGCTAATAACGACTGCGGATATAACGACAATTCGCTAATAACGACTGCGGATATAACGACAATTCGCTAATAACGACTGCGGATATAACGACAATTCGCTAATAACAACTGCGGATAGAACGACAATTCGCTAATAACGACTGCGGATAGAACGACAATTCGCTAATAACGACTGCGGATATAACGACAATTCGCTAATAACAACTGCGGATATAACGACAATTCGCTAATAACGACTGCGGATATAACGACAATTCGCTAATAACGACTGCGGATATAACGACAATTCGCTAATAACAACTGCGGATATAACGACAATTCGCTAATAACGACTGCGGATATAACGACAATTCGCTAATAACGACTGCGGATATAACGACAATTCGCTAATAACAACTGCGGATATAACGACAATTCGCTAATAACGACTGCGGATATAACGACAATTCGCTAATAACGACTGCGGATATAACGACAATTCGCTAATAACGACTGCGGATATAACGACAATTCGCTAATAACAACTGCGGATATAACGACAATTCGCTAATAACGACTGAGGATATAACGACAATTCGCTAATAACGACTGCGGATAGAACGACAATTCGCTAATAACGACTGCGGATATAACGACAATTCGCTAATAACAACTGCGGATATAACGACAATTCGCTAATAACGACTGCGGATATAACGACAATTCGCTAATAACGACTGCGGATATAACGACAATTCGCTAATACTGTATAGCAGGAAATTTTCGGACGGAAATATTTTCGGACAAAGCCGAATTTCGACCTTTCGTACGGATTTTATTTTCGTACAGTGCTGCATGCTGAATGCACGTGTTCGCAAGCAGTACCCATGTACAGTGTACATAATTTCACATGAACAAATTTTAGTACGGAATTAATTTTAGTACAAAAGAGGCCGTGTACGAAATCGTACGAAAATAAATTCCGTCCGAAAATTTCCTGCTATACAGTAACAACTGCGGATATAACGACAATTCGCTAATAACGACTGCGGATATAACGACAATTCGCTAATAACGACTGCGGATATAACGACAATTCGCTAATAACGACTGCGGATATAACGACAATTCGCTAATAACAACTGCGGATATAACGACAATTCGCTAATAACGACTGCGGATATAACGACAATTCGCTAATAACGACTGCGGATATAACGACAATTCGCTAATAACAACTGCGGATATAACGACAATTCGCTAATAACGACTGCGGATATAACGACAATTCGCTAATAACGACTGCGGATATAACGACAATTCGCTAATAACAACTGCGGATAGAACGACAATTCGCTAATAACGACTGCGGATAGAACGACAATTCGCTAATAACGACTGCGGATATAACGACAATTCGCTAATAACAACTGCGGATATAACGACAATTCGCTAATAACGACTGCGGATATAACGACAATTCGCTAATAACGACTGCGGATATAACGACAATTCGCTAATAACAACTGCGGATATAACGACAATTCGCTAATAACGACTGCGGATATAACGACAATTCGCTAATAACGACTGCGGATATAACGACAATTCGCTAATAACAACTGCGGATATAACGACAATTCGCTAATAACGACTGCGGATCTAACGACAATTCGCTAATAACGACTGCGGATATAACGACAATTCGCTAATAACGACTGCGGATATAACGACAATTCGCTAATAACAACTGCGGATATAACGACAATTCGCTAATAACGACTGCGGATATAACGACAATTCGCTAATAACGACTGCGGATATAACGACAATTCGCTAATAACGACTGCGGATATAACGACAATTCGCTAATAACGACTGCGGATATAACGACAATTCGCGAATAACGACTGCGGATATAACGACAATTCGCGAATAACGACTGCGGATATAACGACAATTCGTGAATAACGACTGCGGATATAACGACAATTCGTGAATAACGACAGAATTTCCATGCCCAGAGCAAAGTCCCATCTAGCTGTAATGCATAATATAATGAGACTTCGGGTACAAGGACACTTATTTTATTTATTTATTTATTTATGCACCTCGTAGCATGTCAAGACAGCCAATTGAATTGAGGAGAGGGTGAGACCAACCACGGAAGGAGAGAAGAGAAAAGAAAAGAAAAGAAAAGCACGTACACAAAAGGGGTAAGGATTAGCAAGTTACAAAGCAATGGGATGCCCAGCGAGCTATACAGCGGAAGTGGTGTGACTGTGATTTTGTTTACTGGAGGATACTGAAGTGCTGTCTGACGAGGGTACGGAATTTGGGCATATCTGGCGCTTGCTTAACACTGGGAGGCAGTTGGAGCCACGTGGAGTAGGAGGAAAAGAAAGGGGGATTTACGAATAGGGCAGACCTAGCTTCGCGAATAAGGACACTTTTCTGATGCCCCGCCGAGTGTCGTTATACGCAAAGTTGACTGTATACACGGCAGGGGCTGAATACTTCACAGGGATGAATTTATTGTCATATTTTTGCATAGCAGTTTCTGCTATACAAAATCACAATAAATGTGTAGCAAATAATCGACGTGGAGACAACAATTCTATAATAGCTATAAAGAGAACAAATTCTGCTGTCATCGCCACACTACAACAAAGTCATGAAGGTTTACCAAAATCG